GATCAAATTTGTTTTACGACAGCGTGAATGCATGTTAGGCATGCTTTTATGTCTCGACTTCGGAGAAATTTATCGCGTACATTTTTTCATTGTTTTCTATGCCTTTTCAAAGCACATGCGATAATTTGTTCTATAGGCGCACGTGATGAGTTTCTCAAGAGCGTTCTGACGTTTTTCCACTAGATTGTATATTCTAGATATTATGTATCTTCTATATACATTTTATCTCTATATATACACCGATACTATATATATATACACACATACATGTTACGCGAGAGTTCTCGTTTCAAATATTAATATTTTTATTGACTACTATATATTATCATTTATTAGTACGAGTTAATTTAAACGAAAATGTACTTTACAGACAGTAAAATTTGTATAATCTTAGAGAAAAATTTGAGATGACTTGACTGTAAAATTATTATAAACTAGGAATCTAACTGATAAACACCCGGATATCTTTTCAGCACGTGCGAGTGTATCGCAACATGAAATACACGTAAAACAGATCTTTACTTATCCAGGCAATATATTCATTCTGTGCACCAACAGCGAGTTAAATGTTAATAGTTTAACTTAACGTTGTTTTATAATATCCCATTCTTATATATTTGGTATGTTTTGAACAGTAAAAATATAATCCGTTTTATTAAAGATCCAATTAATATCGTACTGTTAGTCGTACTGTTAGTATAAACCGGGTAGTTTTTATATCTGACTAGCTATCCGAAAGTATCTACCCGATATAAAAATTTACATATATTATCCAGATATTATTTAAAATATATCCAAATATCCCAGTACACGGAATGATAAATTGCGAGAAATAGGATTCAGATAATATTCGAGTGTTATTTTCACAATAACTAAATACGCGAATACTCAAAAAATATCTCAATAGATTATATATTTGAATAGTGAGTTAACTAAGTATCTAATTTGTATTCAAGGTCGCAGATATATAGGTATTACCTGAAATAACCGGATACTCGGATATGCAGAACGAAAACTCACGGGCATTACCCATCTGCCTTCTATTATTGATTTCCGTAACAGCTGATTTCGCATCAGTCGATTTTGTGTTTCGTTTCTTTAAAGTATTGTGTACACTAATCACTACTCGCGACTTCCTAAATAATTTTCACAACCGTTGGATACTCGTAAAATACCCAAAGTACTTGGATAATTGGCTAGCACTTGTATATAGTGGTAATTTTCACAGTACTCAAATATTGGGGAATCTTGGATAATACCCAAAAAATTCAAGTATCCGGGTAGCACACTAGCATACTCGTGTACTAGGACTATGTATATCACTTAAATTTATTCCGGTACACACTACTGTCCAAATCAAGAATTCCTTTAATACATGTTTGTATTGAGAAGGCTTCTTCTCCGTTATTATTATATCTTAATCACTTTACGAACTTTATGGTACGATGTAACTGTTTTGCAATATCGATGCAATCATTTAACAGGGTCTAAGTCGTGCTATTAGTTCAGGATGTAATTGCCCGGTAAAATCAGCAATCTTATCTGGCGTCTATCGACTGTGCGCACCGAGTAATGAAAGTGTGATGTACGAAACTGTGCTTTGCGTTCGTTCGCGCAAATCCTCAACCGATCTCCACACCCGGTCTAACGAACAAGACTATCGAGTACGCGTGTAAAGAAATCTCGATGTGTGTGCACGTCTGGACAACGTGCGCTCGTATGCGCGCCAGCGCACAGATCGCATACAGTGCAAGGCGCATCCTGTGTATGTGTCCTGTCTTTCGTCCTGCTCTGATCGTGGTCGCGGGACGAATGCCACGCGAGTCTCCGTCTTCGTCTCGCGACCCCCACCCCCACTTCACCCTTCGCTACTCGCTGCGATTTCGCGCGTTTCATGGGAAAGCTCACCCCACCTACGCTTCAACGACGATGGTGGGGTGTACTCGGGCACGTGGGCGGTGTCAGATCGAGCCACGCCCAAAACGCGATGCCCCTTTACCAGCCCGGTGCGCTCGTCAAATGTTTTTCGTCGCGGATTATGACGCGGTCTGCGCGATTATGACCACCTCTCTCTTTCTCTCGTCCGCGTCGTTGCTCTCTCCCACTCTCACGATTTTCCCCTCAGCCCCGCGCGCCCCGGCGCTTTCCGCTCGGTGGCTGGATTTTTTCTTTCCCTCTCTCGGTCTCCTTCTGTCTCGTCCCTTCTATCTTCTCCCTACCTTGTCGCCGAGGAGGACAAACTTTGCTCTTGCCTCAGCCGCTAGCTACGACGTCGTCTCGGACACGCGAAGAGGCGACTAAGCTCGTTCTTTTTCTCGCTGTGAATTTCTTCCTGTACATGTGTGGGATTTTGGGGTTCCCTCTCTCTTTCTCACTAACTTTCTACTTTATATTTCTTTCTTTATTTCGTCGTCCTTTACGTTTCGCTGCTTCTATCGGGTAGCTAACGTATAGTGGCATCGATCGGCGCCGGTACGTTTTTCTCAAATCAGTCGAGGGGAAAAAAGAGAGCAGAAGGACTAAACAAAGATGGTCAATGGTCAACGTCCAACGATCTAGTAGATTTTGAGATTAAAACAAGCGAAAGCTGTAACAAGGTGAAGACATGATAAATAATTCGCGGAACGTACATAGTGTAATGACAATTATTATATGATCAATTCGACCATTCAATTATAATTTTCGATTTAAGAAATTTAAATGTCGTATGGGTTACATTCCAAACAAAAGTTAGGTGAGATTCACGTTGTTATGAGATTAAAAATTTATTAGAAAATTCTTTGATATGCAAGCTCGACAGTTTAAATATTTGATAATATTATATACTCGTATGAAGAAAATGTTCATCAAAACATATTTATGTATCACACTTCGATACAATAATATTTCGAGGTGCTATGCATTACGACTGCTTTAAATCCGATATTTTGAAATAAAATTTTAAACAATATTGACGTTGCCAGTGTCAGTTATTCAACACTATATAATTATTATTTATTACTGTTTTCTTATAATGTAAATCTGAAAAATTGAATTTAAAAAGTACAGCGGAAAGGTGCACACTGCCAATAATTCACGCCAAGAAGCAATAAATAATGAAGAAACATGTTCCGCCCCTTTGTTCCAGACGTTTAATCCTCCTGCTTCTCTCTTTCCCTCTTTCTCCCTCTCACTCTTTCTCTCTCTCTCTCTCTCTCTCTCTCCCCATATAATTACGATTAAACCGGATCATGGTCCTGCAGACTGAATTCGCTCCGGGCAACAAAAGAACGACTCCGATCGGCGATCTCAGCGTGACGCTCACTCTTTACGACGCTCCCGAATAATGTGATTCTGGGTATATAATTCCGGTCCATGTGGGTAGAAAAGCTCTCGCGGATTTGGCAACACTGTGATGCTCTGGGCGTCTCAGCAACACTCCACGGCGCGAAGGACGAGCGTCGAGCGTTTCACGACGGAGAAAAAGCGGGAGAGATTTCGCTGGGAGGAAAGGGTGAGGGGCGGCACCCGTGAGAGGCGAGACGGGAGAGCCGGGTAGGGATGACGCTGATGAGAATGCGAGAGGGGAAAAGGCAAGGTCACGTGATGTCGTGGGAGCGATTGCAGCAAGAGTAGGGACGTGTGAGGCGTGGCTATCGCCTTCTCCTTCGTTGCCGCTTCTACCGTGTTAAAATCCGGAGGACGGAGTAGGCGAATGCGAGCGAGAGAGACGGAAAGAAACGGAGAGTGAGATTCGTGACGCTGTGTAGTGCGAATTTTGGCACGGTTCTCGAAAACTTCTCACTCGCGGCATATCGCGGAAAACTCGGTGAAATCTCGACGTGGCCAATTGTATTGCATTACGGCAGTGATGAAGTGCACTTGCCGCTCGCGCGAAGAGAAGAGATATGTATTTTCGAATGGGATGTTGCCAAACGTACTTTCGTACAGATGAGTTATATGACTTTGTATATTCCGTCACCTTCGGACAAACATCTTTTACACTTGTCTCTATCCTTTTTCTTCTGACAAGGTATCATTACAACTAATTATATTAAAATTTTGATATATAACATAATCCAACAACAACAATACAAAACATTTGTCAGTAATCGATCGAGATATGGAGTAATATACAATAATTTCCTCTCTTCCAAACGAAGGTGTCGACCAACGTGACAACTCAGACGCGAAAATTCTCTCGCGTCAAACGCGAACGTTAACGCTCAGCCAGCGAAGATTCGAGAGAGCTCCACTAACGACACCTCGCGACGTCGATCGCGCTTCCTCCCCCCTCTCTCTCCTACGTACCTATTGCCTCCGCCCTCGTTGGAAGGCAGTGACGCGGGGTGGTGTTAATGGGCGTACTCGCGGTTAACACCCTTAGGACCGAGGAAGTGGGAGTACATGCCGGCTCACTGACATGGAGCGGAGAGTATTGCGAGCGCGTGTGTGCGACGTGGACGGAGGGGATAAGTCTGACGGAGAGAAAACAGGGAAAGGGTGCGCGGATGCGAGTGAGACAGACGCTGCTCGAGTAGCGTCGGAAAAGGCGTCGAGTCCAACGCCGCTCGGATTGGCGCCGGAACGCCAATCCGGACTACGAGCGCTCATTATCGCCCAACGGCTGGTAGGAGAAGGTGCCGCGAGATTCTCCCCACCTCTCACCACCTAGTGCTATCAGTCGCCGTCTCTGTCTTCGTCACACCAGTGTTGGCTCGCAACCGTTGCCGACAGTTGGGGAGGGTCGCCCCCACTACGCTCGGCTGTAGATGATCGTAGGGGAAGGGAGGAGGAGCCCCCGCACGGTCTCAGTCTTCGCGTCGCTGCCCTCCAGCATTCACGCCTCCCGCGTCCGTTCCGCGGCGCAGGCACACCGCGGTCTATATACACGTACGTACGCACGCACACGGGGCCGTGGACCACCCATATACACGCGGCCGCGCGTATACACCGCCCTGAATCCGGACGGAGACTTTAGCACACCAACACCTCCGCGGGAGGTGTGGGGGTGAGCCCCCAGAGGAGGTGTCAATCCTAGCGCTGCTCAGTGACCATCGCGGCGCCACCCAAGTAACACCTTTCGTCCACTCTTCAGCCCCGGCTGATCGTCGTCACCATCGTGGTCGCCAAGAGGAGAGATAAATCCGTTCCTTTTTGTCGTCGTCGTCATCCTCGTTGTCGTCGTCGTCGCCGTTGTCATCGTTGTCGCGTGTCCACTCCAAACCAAATTGAACTGGACTGGATTGTCCTCTCTCGTGAATGTCACGTTGCTGAACCGTTCGACGTTCATCCGGTGTCTACACTCGTCGTAAATCGTGGACATAGTGTCGTGTTTCGAGACATCCGGGGGAAAGCGAAGAAAGACGAAGGTAGTGACACGATATCAGCGGCGGGGTAATATAACGCAGAGTACACTGCAAGCAGGTGAGAAGTCAGTGATCAGTGAACGCCGGATTTACATCTCAATAGGCTGGTAGAGTGGTTCGCAGAAAACTAGTGTTTCGAAATGGGTGTGACTCTCATACTGAAGATCTATCAAGCAGCATCACAGTAGACATCCGCACGCAAAAATATCGAAACTCCAAAATCTGGTGTGCAGTGTACAGCCTCGTCCCGGTTTAGTGGTGAGGTGTTCCGAGAGCGGACAACTCGCATCGACACTTTACTGGTGATTCACTCGAAAATAACCGCACTATGGTGAAGGCACGTTGAAGCTTTGGGCACAGTCCTATCGGCAGGACGGTGTCCAAGTTGTAAGATGTCGACTGATCAACTTGCAGCAGCCAGCGACACGATCGTCGGCGATTTTTTGCAGCCAAATTGCGCGAAAGAGACGTGCGGTGGTTTCAAGAGTCACGATTCATGGTCTTGAACGCGAAATCTTCACGAGACGCGAGTGTCTAATAGAAGATATGAGGAGGTACGAGCGCGATCGTCGACCAGTCTAGATACTCCGAAGTGCAGTCTCCATCCGACGGCTCGCGAACCCTCGCGAGCGACAGCGCGCATTCGGAGCGAGAACGGAGGGACCATCGCGCGAGCAGACCAAGGTTTTGAGTCACTCGAAGAGAAATCTCGCGCGACTCGGCACACCCGCCCGTCTCGATGAGATTCGAACAAGATACGGCGTGCAGGGGTACCCACTGCGCCAGCACTCCGCAACCCTCCGCGCTGCAGCAGCGATCACGGCCCGAGGAGGTGGTGGTGGAGGAGGAGGAGGACTCCTCCGCGAAGGACGTCGACGGTCAACGACGTAGACGCAGAGAATTGGAGGCTAACGTGGTCGAGGGTGCGAATACGGGGCCGCGGGCCGAGGCGGGGGGGCCTGGGATGGCGTACCCCGCGCCAGCGACGGCTCTGAATCAGCACTCGCCCTTCGCCAGCTCGATCGCCGGCACGCCACCCGCTAACAATCCTAACGGCCACATCGGTGCCGGCGCACACCTGCCGGCGCCGGCGGCACCGCGACCGACGGACTTCAGCGTCTCTTCGCTGTTGACCGCGGCAAGTACCCATCCGCCGATTTTGGGCGGTTCGTCGTCGCAGGGTAGCGCGTCACCGCCGCCTGGTGGACCCGGTAGTCCGGCCGCTGCACCGGAAACGCCGCCACCCTTAGCTACGAGCCAACGTGAATTGTCGCATCCATCTTCGGCGGTGGCGGCTGCTAACTACTTCAGCGCTGCTGCCTTGGCAGCAGCGAGTTTCTACAATCCGGCGGCTCATCTGCCGCCGACCAGCTCGCCAGGACCAACGGCGCATCATCTTCAGAGCAAGGGGATACTCAGCAGCGCGCATCATCATCCACATCTCAACCCACACGGTATCACGCCGCCAGGTGAGCAGATCGTCCTCCTTCTATGCGAGAGTGAACTTGGTGTGTGGACGCGCAAAGAGTGTATTCTCGTAGAAGGAAAGTGTGCGTTTAATTAACACGTCGTATCGGTTGGCAGAGAAAGAGAGGGAAGCGAAAAGAGCCGACGGTTATAACGCGATAAAGACCGCGGTAGTGAATCGCGCGAGAAAGTATATTTCAAGGACTATGGCGGTCGCGAGACGTTGGTGATTCGGCTGATATCGAGAGGATAATAATGTTCCGCGTCGATGAGCAGACACGTTAGATTATTATTGGATTTACGCGCGAATCTCCCAAGCCGCTCCTTTCTTGGATCCATTAAACCAAGTTTAACGAATTGTTTATTCTCGTTTTTGGCTATTAACCTCTTAATCGTTCAAAGTCCATCAGTCGAAAATGAAGCGGTCGCTAATTTGATAGAAGCTAATTATGGCTCATTTGGAGGGTTCAGGAGGAGACCAAGTCGGCCATAATCAGCTCCCAGTGAGCTAGCGACCGCTTTAATTTCGTCTATCTTTATCGTAAATAACTGATATTGTAGAAAAACAACGTTCCAATCGCGAGTTGAGCCTTCTTGTCGAGTAGGACACTCTAATCGACCATAGCAGCACTACAGCCTAAAATGAAATATCTCTAAAAACCTTTCAATACCACACTCTTCCGCCAATGTAAGGAAGCATAAAGACGCGACCAACCGCCGAGTGTTTCCTTCAACAACCGTACGTTAAACTGCAAACAAACTTGTTGCGTGTTAGCGCGCGGGTAATATGCCGCCGGTGCTTATTTCGGCTACGACCCAACCTACAGGAGACTTACAGGAGACGGTAGTTACCAGCGCGCGAATATTAAGCGCGTCGCCGGCGTTTTACGGGCGCGTTCACTTACCCTGCTTTTTACAATGCGATCCCCATCGTTTTCCGCGGCTTCAGCGTTGCTTAGAATCACGCGCGCTATTTTGACGCTGTCGTGGTCACCTCCGGCGGTGGCAAAGTTCAACCGTGCTCAGACGAGATCGTTAAGTTCGACGCAATATTCCTGGTGTCGAGTTGAATTTTCATCCGTTCGACATCGCAATCGTGAGCGCCGGGACTCGAGGTTCCCTTTTTTCTCCTTTCATTCTCTTCCTGTTCTTCTTTTTCCTTCTTTTTCGTAAATCGATGTAATGATCGCACTCGGTATTTCGAGAACGTTCGTAAACACGAGCGTACTTTGTTGTCCTGGCGCGTTGCCATTGTCGCGCCGGAAGCGCGCTCGTTTTTCGAAAGGACACGTTTGTGACACGCTGGAAGTTTCTCGTTTGTCACTCACGTCGCCGTTTCGTGGATCTTACGCAACATCCTGATCGCACAGTCTGGCGTGCACGTCAAAGCGCACGACGGCTGGTACGGAAGAACGGCGCAATGAAATATTGCGCGTTTTGTCCGCCTCGCAAAGGACGAACGGATGGATGGATGGACGGACGGACGGACGTACGTACAGATAGACGGCGCGTTTTTGAGCCGCGCTTTTCCACACGCGCCTTATTTCTCCCTGCCGCCGGCTCTCCTCCCCACACGTGATAATTGTGCAATATTAGACCGATCTCGTGGTCGACGTCGGCCATTGTTAATTTACGCGAGGATAAAGCGCCGATCTCGTTGCCATTGATATTAAACGTTGCTAATTACAGACGGTTTATTACCTTGTTTGCCGAGTCGTTCGGTGCCATTATAAAGATTAGCGTTAATGTCGCGACATTTGATTGCGGCCGACCAATCGTTCGCTAATTGTTTTCCCAATAATATTTGTCCCGTGCATTCGTCACGGAAAGTATCGCCGGTGGCCGACGTTGGCTAATCTGTTTTTTTCGATGGACGATTTCGCGACGGAGTCATCGGAGTCGCAGCCGCGATAGGACGACACGATCCGCGTCGCGTCTTCGGGGATTGGGGATATTCCGATGATAATGGCTGACGTACGTTCCGCGAGAGTCCAAGCTGGTTGTGCTGGAAACAAGAGTGTGTTCTCGCGATATCTCGTGACCACATCCTCATCTCGCGCTTTTCCTCTCTCGAGAGATCGACTCGAGAGACGCGCACATTGAACATCCCTCACGCCGCTTGTATCCGGTGTAACCGACTCTCAACTTTGCAACGTCGGCCAAATGGACAAATAGCTCTCGCTCCGCTACTCGAAGCTGAAAACGCAAGCCTGTTTCTGGACAAAGCGATTTCTTCAGCTTCCGCGAGACTGACTTCGATCTCGATATCGGCGTGCTCCACGCGTAAAATTCCGAATCGTGCTCGACGAATGATCGCAACAGCGCGCGAATAACGACGATAACATCGAGAACGCGGCATGACTCTGACACAGTTGAGAAAAAAAATGCAGTCGGTGTGCGCGCACGCCGGCAATACATTACGACTTAGGCAGCGATAATATAATCGATCTGGCATATCTCCGGCGGTTAAATGAGCAGAGCGATGCGAACGGTGGAGCGCGCGGCACGGTTCCTCGACATTATGTTCGCAACACGCGCTGTCTCGCGTTTTGCATTTTCCATTGCCGACGAGTAGCGTATATATCGCGTGGTAACGCGCGCCGAGCTGGAATTTTTTTGGAAAAATACCCCTCGGGAACGCAACGCAACGCAATGCCGCACGCGGATTAAAGCGTCGCAGCGGCGGCAACGGTTTCGGTAAATCTCCGGGAAATTCTGGAATTGGCCCGCGTAGAAATAAAAATGCGGACTTATCGCGTCGGTGTGCGCGCGAAGTAACGACAGGGTTAAGCAACGCGACGCGCGAAGGGTTACGCGTCGCGTTTTACTTTGCGCCGGCGGTAATGATGGGATGCGCCGTCCGCAAATGTCGTGCCAGGTGCGCGAAAGAAAGAGAGAACGTCAGAAAGAAAGAACAAGACAGAAAGGGAAAAGGAAGAATCGGAGGAACGATTTCCAGTGCCGACAACGTGCTCATCGCGCGTCGTCTTATCTGACATCGCATTATTACGCGCGTCCACCTCATCCGCTACAACTAGTTATTCCCTTCGTTAGGCTAAATGATGAATTAATTCCCGACGTCGGTAGACACGCGTTACCCCGTCGTCGCTAGACGACGATCCGACTCACTGTGGCCGAATAGCTCCCTCCTTACTTATTTATAATAACGCGTTACACAGCATGATAAATCGTACACTGAAAATTATTCAGGCTGAGGAGAAGTCAAGAGTATAAATTGTAATTTATGCGCGTCTCTGATGCTCAAAATTGATACGAAGCACGTTTTCTATTTTGCACGTTTTCTTCGTCTCTGATTCTTAAAACACGCGCTCGAAGATGCGATTTGTTCTCGCGATAATCCGAAATGATTCTCCTCGATTAATCGGAGCAGTTTTTGTTTCAAACTTTCCGACTAACAGAGACAGTTCTCTATTGTAAAAATTTATTTCATATTCTTGATCGGGTTGATCTCAATCAGTTATTAGGTTTTAAAAAGATATCATTTTTTATGATATTATCAGTTCTTGATAAGTCATGTAACATGGCGTGTGGAAATCAGGTCGTTATTAATAATAAAGATTGTTCATAATTAGGTTCTAATAATATCATCTTACACAAACCAAATATAACAACTGATTAAAGTCAACTTGATCGTTTTAATTAAAAGAAATATTTTTTCCAAAAATTTGTCGGTTTTTTTAGAATTCTTGGTAGTCTTTTACGAGTTTTAACGATAACTATTAACACCTAAGGCGATAGAACTAAAAAGTTTCGTCGAATTTTCGTGTCCTCAGTTTCGAACTGAAGTCAGCCCCCTCCCCTTTTTCCAAATGGCTTTTTGATTACTTTAAACGCTAGAACTATTTCTGAAACCGACTGAGAAGACTCTAGACTCTTCGGGGAAAGGGAAGGAGGGAAAAAAACTCCAATAATTTTTATCAAACTTAGAAAATGAGAGATTAATGTCACACAGAGATTTGTGAGTAAAATTTCTAATTGAGTTAATCTGACAATCGAAAAAAGGGCCATTTTCTCACTCGCAAGTCGTTCCGGTGCGATGACAATCGCGGGATAACGCGTCGCCGTCGGGTCGGCGATGTTCTCGCGCGGTTCGTCCGATCGTCGTCAGGTCGGGATGCAACGGTGGGCGATCTGTCATTGTTATTGTTCCTCTTTCTCGTCATTTCTTTTTCGCGGCGGCACGGCGCGTTGCACGTCGCGCGCGTCGTCGTCCTCTTCCTCGTTTCTAGCCAGACTCGCGGCCAACTGACCATAAGGTGCTGGTGATTAATCTCACCAAGGGCGCGCTCGACGTTTCTTGCATTCGAAATTCGGAGCGTGTGTAGTCGCGTGTACGTGCGCCACGTAACCCGTGTAACCCGAACGGAGAAAACGACAGGGCGACAAGGCGGCCGGGGAAAAGAAGGAAGAGTGGGAAATGCAAAAAGAAAATTATACAGTGAGCTGTGCGTTTTATTTTTGCCGCATTGAAGGAGAGCGACGGTGCAAAAAGCAGATAGCAGAAACGCGTATCTATATATAAATTGACCAACGGAAGAAAAAAGATTTTATAGCTGTAACTAATCATGGCTTGCTGAAAATGTATTTGTTGCTGTAACTAAAATTTGATCACCGTTACTAACTAAAATTTTTGCTACTATATTGATTTCATAATTGAATATATGCCTACTGGCACTCTCTTAAAGCGAATCAGTAAAAATGTTTCTGATTAAATCAGAAAAATGATACTTGACCGATGATCAATAATCGTATTCACTGATTTTCAATAAAAACACTTCCACTTCATCGTTCCGTCTTATTTCTCACTAATCTTAGATAAATCTGCAATACACAAATTCGTTATACGTTAATCCAACTTTCTGCGTTTATAATAATGAGATTAACAGCTTCCATGTACAATGACTGTCTGTGTTCGCAAAGTGCATAAAAAATGGAAATAGTCGCTACTGATTCTATCAGCGAAATTTTAGTAATTGCAGTG